CATGGAATATGCGAAATCTTCTAGACCCACTAGAGACCGTTCAATGGCGATCGGTTGGTTGAGTGAAGTGGCGCAAGAGTTGGAAGATTCCATCATGGACTTCTGGCAACTCGCATTTTTCCCTGCCATCATGTCGTCCCTCGCAGATCCTTCTGACGACGTCAAGCGGAATGCTGCTTTTTGTGCAGGCGTGTGCTGCGAGAAACTGAAAGATCGTGTCGTTGCAAATTACGGCGAAATCTTACACGCAGTGGAGCCCCTTTTCAGCATTGATGCGTCCAGCGGAGAGTCGGCAGCTGCTTGTGTCGACAATGCTGCGGCCTGTGTCTCGAGAATGATCATTACCTCCCCTGCCAGCGTTCCGATGCCCCAAGTTTTGCCAGCCATGTTGAGGTTATTACCATTGAAGACAGACATGACTGAAAATGAAACAGTCTACACCTGTCTGATTGGGCTGATTGAAGTAAGTCATCCAGATGCAGTGGCAAACAAATCGGAAATTCTAAGAGTTTTTAGCGACGCTTGTGCGCAAGGGAGCAAAGTAGATCCCGAAATTCAATCAAAGCTGAGAGATATCATGCCAAAATTACAATGATGAAAAGTTTTCAGCTAGATTGCAACGAGCCCTCTAAACACTATTATAGAGACGCACTATCTTATGATTTCGATGTATTGGTTTCCAGTTTCGTAGCCTTTCCCAGCATCCGATCTAAGCCCTCGCAAGCAGGCTCAAGATACTTCGCTCGAACAAAAAAGCAAACGCTGTATCTGCCAGCATAAGAAAAGACATGAAGATCGGGAATCCGACCAAGCGAACAACCTCCAATAAAACGTGTTTGAGAGAAGCGAAGGACGGAAGATGATGCAACTCCTGTTTCCTCTCACCAACGTCGTTGTCTCTAATGTCAGGGAATTCGGCAAGTTGGAAAAGGTCATTTAACGGAGGGAAAACTTCAAACACACAGACAATAAGCGTTATATATGTAGCTTGAATGCTTCGCCATAGTATCTTGTTCTTCCTTAATGGCTCGACGAATGGTTCACCTCGGTAATTTACCGCAAATGTATCCACAGTTGCCAAAACATTGATGAGAAAGGTACATGTATTCAACGTGTTGGGGTTGAAAGGACCATCTGGGATCAGACTTGGATCGAAAGGGTCCACGAAAGACAAGGCAACCTCCGTAGCAATTGTCATGGCCGTGAAATGAATTGCGAATTGTCCAAAAATCGAAAGAAGAGCCTGGGTGGAGAGGACAGAAACAGGAGGTCTCATTTTTGACAGCTTTGGAAGTGGCTTCCCACGTGTCACAAAAAAGAAGAGCGCTGCGACAAGGATTCCAAGGGAAGTCATTTGGCGATCTCCTTGCTTGACTCCATGAAGAAATAGCTTGGAGAGAATAGTTGCATTTACGAGGCAATTTACTCCAAGAATCTTGTAGATTTGTAGCATCGTCACAAGTGTACACCGACCCTGCTTTATCACTTCCTTGCAGCAGCTGATATTAACAACTCTGGAAGTAAATGGAGATGCGATGGATGCATCGCCCAAGTCAATCTGATCTAGTTCGTCCTGCGCCTCTTGTAGCTGTCGAAAGGACTCTTCCAGAGAGCTTTTTGACTTCTTACTTTTTGTTTTCTGCTTGACTCCCTTCTTTTGTTCTGTCATTGCGTGTGATATCAACCTAACGGCCCTCCTTTGCTTTGCCTCAAGTTCTGGCGAGCTGATCAAAGATATACCTACATGGGATCGTCGAAGTGCCATTGTATCGTTCGTTCCATCTCCGCACATAAGAGTCTTGTGGCCTCCCAAATTCAATGCTGCAATTACAGCTTCTTTCTGTCGAGGAGCATGCCGCGCAAAAACGGCGATCAGAGGAACGATCTCTTTGAGGAGAGCTTGTGCCTCAGAATGAAACAACATGCGTTTTTTGTCGTCTGATTGTTTTTTGTTCTTATTCCGCAATGATAGTTGTTCAACAGCATCCGAGGCGAGTTTCTGGAGCGTATCCCCCGAAATACATAAGACTAAGTCTCCTGCTTGCACCAGTCGTTTCAAGTTCAAGATGCCAGATGGATCTAGAAACAGTTTCTTGGGTTTTTCTTTCTCTTTCAAATCTAACAGCGGCAAAAGTTCGAAACTGGGAAGAAATGATTCTGCAACCGTGCCAAGTTTGGAAGGAACATAGGACAGCTCAAATGTTGGGGGATATGCCTTTGTCGCCCTTGAAATGATTCCGACCTGGCGCGAAACTTCAACAGCGGTCAATACTGCATCACCGGTAATCATTACGACCTCATGCCCACTCGCCTTGAGCTCTGTCACAATAGCTTTGGAATCGTGCTTTATGGGACTGTGGAGCACAAGGAATCCAGCAAAGGTCAACCCCCTTTCCATGCTTTCACGATTTAAGTCACTGAGAGACTGTTTTGATTCTGTGGGATCCAACTTTCGGTATGCCATAGCTAGGACACGTTGCCCAAGCGCCATATGAGACATGTAGAGCTCATCATAGTCAGATGGAGTGGATTCTGGTTCGAGGAATGTTTTCAAAATCTCCGGTGCTCCTTTTGTGAGCACCCATGTTGTATCGCTCCCATTTTCCTTGACGAGTACCGACATTCGTTTCAATCTAGAGCTGAAAGCAAATCTATGAATGATAAGAATCGTATCTGGACCATCAGCTTTGCCTGTTTTCCTTAGAACACCATTTCGCATCATTTTATAGCCTGTTGTTTCCAAGACAGCTTTTTCCAGTGGGTCTCCAACCAAAGCCAGTGATTCCAATCCTTGAGAGTCTGAGGAGTTGCCAGAGTTCACCGCGAGGGAATGACAAGCAACCATAATGCGCAATGCAGGCAACGGCACAGAAGTGCCTGGTTCCATCAACTCACCAACTTCGATCGCATCCCTAGTGTTCGCGTTCGTATCATCCACCGGCACTCTCAGGCCTTTAACTTGCATCTCATCTGAGGTTAGTGTACCAGTCTTATCGAAGCAGCAAAAGTCCACCTGTCCAGCAACTGGTATACGAAAAGCTTCTGTGCAAAATATTTTCTTTTTCAACAAGTCCGCCACAGAATTGGTGACAGCGAGACTAAGTTCCATCGGCAATTCCGGTGGAACAACACTGGTGATTATGATGATAACGCGTAGACATAATCGAAAGTAGTTTCTTGTTGGATCGTTCCTCCCTTCTTCCCAAACGAGAAGAGCGCTTAACACAGCGCAGCAGAGTAGCAACAGAATAAATACGTATGTGTCTCGCGTATGAATCCCATCAATTGATTTCTGAGTGTGAGCCATGGTTCGCAACAACGTCCCTTGTGCGGTTTCGAACCCCGTTCGCAACACCATCCCAACAACTCCTTCATCCGGAGGTTTTGGCCAATGTGCGAGAGAGGAATTTCCATATTGTCCAACAACCAGTGTAGTGCCGCCGAAAAGTACGGATTGTTTATGTTCCTGAAGGTCCAACTCAGTTTCTAACGCAGTGCTCCCATCAGCTTCGATGGGAACTTTGAGCTGTGGTATAGACTCGCCTGTCAGCAAAGACTCATCGACCACAGCATCTCCATTAAGAATCAAAATGTCAGCAGGAACTCGATTAAGTTGTTGCTGCTTCTGAGCTAACCTGGACTCAGAATGTTCGTGGTTTCTCTTTCGCATCAAGTTGATTTGCCTGCAACTCACCACATCACCCGGCACTAGCTCCGCTACTGAAACTTGAATCCACCCGTGCTTTCCTGGTGGATATGAGGGTCGATACACCCAAATTAGCTTCGGAGTATGAATGGTGTGGGAGCGCAATCGTTCCAGAGACTTGAGCCTATTGTAGGCAACAGTTGATTCAAACATCAACAAGGCAAAAAATGTGAAAATTGCATAGTACCAGTACTCATCCAGACTCCACAATAAGACGCAAAGCACTTGAAAAAGAAAAAAGGGAGCCAGAACTTGCTCTTGAAGCAATTCGACAAATGGAGGTAGTTCAATCTGTGTCACGTTGGCACCATAAGTTTGTTGCGCTAGAAACAGCTGTTGCATGTCTGCGTGCCCTCTCCATTGTTTGTAGAAATATAGAGGGTATTGTACAGGATATCGCAAGCGATGAAAGCGTCCTTGTTCGCTAGGTGCACCAGAAACTGGGAGAGCAGGTGAAGATATGTCGCCATTCCTTGTCCACAGGAGGAAATCAAAATCCTCATTGCTCTTTGAAAGTCTACTCCGAAAGATGAGATCTTGGAAATTCACAACCATCACAGCATCATGCGATCCTTCCCTAGGAGTGATAGATTTCAAACACTTTACAGCTACTATTCCAGAGTCGTGAGACGCATGATGCTTATCGATATGAGGAGCTTCTACAAGACAGTGTGTCCATGGAGCATTGATCTTGTCGGATTCATCGTTGGACCTTGGAGATTTAGATTGCATAAAACTTGATTTTTGATACCCCACAGTGGCTCGCCAAGAAACATCCCATTGTTGCAAGAGGAACAACCCAAGATGAAGCATGAGAGTTAGCGGAAAGCCCACCAAAGTGAAGGGTGGTATCCATGATTGTTTCATATCATTCTGTTGAACACAATAGTCCAGGAAGATCAGGAATCCGTAGGCAATCACAAAGGGGTACACATCTAATCTTGTCAGCACGGATCGTTCTTTCAAAGGTGTGAGAATGTATCCATCTGTTTGCGGCGAAGACCCAGCCATCAATTTAGAAGATTTTGAATCTTGAGATGTCGACAGTGATGTCACTTCATCATCGATAATTTCCACCTCGGTGCCCCTCTCATCTTTGAGGATTTCACCAATGCATTGTTTGCGATGCCGCAAATTTGGACTATCTCCCATGGTCATGATAGAAACGTCGTGCAGTTGTCTGGCTAGCTAGCTAGAAATCAGAAAATTGTGTGGTGCATGACTTTCGACGAAGGAAAACCAATTCATTTATAATTTCAAATCTATATATATGCAAAATATCCACTCCAAAATCATACTTACCTTAAAGAGGCTTGGTGGCGATCATGACGGCCGCTAGCTGCTGCGTGGAGCTGGACCTGCACTGTGTCTGTACGTGAAACGCAGCCAGAAGGCCCTCAGGGCGTTCTCTCTTTATCATTTTTGAAATAGTCTTTCAGCGATACTCGCTCGAAGGCTGCTTCCTTTTTTGCTCTTTTGAAACTCTGGAACTCTGTAGTACTGGAGTAGGAACTACTGACTGTGAGTGTATTCATGGAATGCACCCCCACAATATTTGATTTTTATTATTAGTATTGCTCTATTGAAGTACGACTTGCTATTTGAAAAAATCTTTTCTATTTCTGTTGTAAACTACTCCTGCAATTACTTTCTTTTGTTTTGCCATTTTTCACGCGTATTGGAAGAGAAGAAAGTTTGTCCTGTTCTAAAAATGGTCTAGGACATACAGTGGATGCAACGCTGTTGAAAACTCTGGCATGGCAAAGAGCCAAACAGCACTAGACTTTCAAATTTATAGTAGTCTCTGCTGTATACGTCGTAGTATGCTTAACAATATACTAGCATAAAACCGTATGCACTAACAAGGAGCCTATGGGACCTATTCATCAAGGCTAATTTAGTCAAAGATCCATTCCAAATCATCCGAGGTTGTGGACTCATACTCCAGTAATATTTTATTGATCAACTACTTCGGCGCGAGGCTTTCTCCCACCCTCCTCCTCCCTTTCGTATTGGAGGTCGAGGAGACTTAACACACGCAACTGATTCATAGTGGCAATGCGTTCCTGTAGTAGAGTTTTGGACTTCAGCACTCCAGCCAAAGTTTCATCCTCTAAAACGCTATTACGTATTTCGAAGCAGTTTAGAACATAGAAGAAAGTAGAAAAGACAACAAGGTCAAGAAACAGGGTGAGGGGTTACACAATTGATGCAAAATGCTGCAATACGTAGTTTTTGCTCACGCTTTCTCCCTGGTCTCTGGTTTGATCCGAAGAATTTTTTCAAATAATTCTAACGGAAAAACGTTGCAAGCCTGTGCTTCCCAGTCAACGGTGATCGGTACCCCTACCGACGCGTCGCCTACAGTAACAGGGAAGACGACAATCTCCACATCTGAAAATGATACGTTGTGTCTCTGTGACGAGGACGATGGGGAAAGATTGGAAGATGCGAACAAAGTGGTCGACGAATAGAGATTGAAGGATGCGGCTGAGGAATGCAGAGACGTTAACAGCATGATATGGCGAAGAATGTAGTGTAGATCGTAGAAACGATCTGCAGTATCTCCAGCTCGTCCAAGGAATTAATGCTCTGCTTGCTGCAATTGTTCCGCAGCTACCGTTGCTTAATCCGAACGGAGAAAGAACACTTTCGCTCTTAGAACGACTTGTCCAACCGGAACCGGATCCAGGCAGCAACAAGTTTTTCCCTGACATGAGTTGTGAATACCAACCACACATCAGAGAAGCAGTATCAGTGAAAGAAAACGGAAAATATATTCTCTAGTAGAATACAGGTGAAGTGCATTCCTACCACTTCAAACCCCCGAAAACAACTACCTACCTAGTAGTAGAGAGTAGTACCGGTAGCTAGGTACCCATTCCGTCGTATTAAAAGTTAAGGCTTCCCTCGATCGTCGAAACATTTCATGCACTTTTTTGTGAATGTTTCTTGGAGGGGTACTGTTATAGCTATCCCCTCTCTCTAGGCAATTTAGTTATCTCTAATTGAATTTTGTTAGTAGTACGGTAGATTGATTACGGTAGGTACCGTACCTGTACTAGGTACCGGTACTCCGCTGCCGGTATGATAGAGCTACCGGAAGTCTATCATACAAGATAGAAGCAAAGGTAATAATACTCCGTACTTACAGATACATGTTACTACGTAGTAGTAGCCTAATAAAATTTTCCTTGCAAATTTTTTTTTAAAAAAAAATGTTATTTTATAATATAAAATATTAATAACTATAAATATTTACTCTCTAGCTATTTTAGTAGTAGAGTAGAGTAGCTCTCTACTCTAGGTACCGGTAGCTAGCTACCGGTATGTAGCTAGCTACTCCGTATCTAGCTAGTAGAGTAGAGCTACCGTACTCACAGTCAACTGAAATTCCTTAATAATTCCATTAGATCAGTTCTTATCCATTCGAGAAGATTCAATTTTTGGCGCGAAAGACTTCATGATTGTCTACCTAGTAGTGTCTAACGTAGGACTCCAATGCCAAAAGACGATGTTGTTGTTGCATGGGGTACCAGTAGACTACGGTACCGGTAGTCCAATCTAGCTACCGGTAGAAGTGGTACCGTATTACGTTTTTCTGCTGTAGTATTACTTTTGTAAACTGTCCTAATCCACACTCGACCTCCATCCTCATCAGAGCATCAACAGCGGCATACCAGCGTTCGAAATTATTGCCTCTTCGAAAAGTGCTACCGTTCCAGAACGTTGCTTTGCTGTTATCACTGAATCATGGGGCCGTACCCAAATAACAAGCGACTCTTTGGACAGACCATGAAGAAATCGAATCGATCGTCGGTTTCACGTTATCAGCGACAACTTGGCACGACAAACAGCAACAGCAATAGCCATTCCTTGGTCCCAAGCGAACAATCTGTGGCGGAACGAAAAGCCGCCGAAGCCGCTGCAAGAAGAAGATTGCGTCAGGAACAGGGGGAGACCATTGATGGGAAATTTGGATATCATCGATTGGAGGACCAGCATGGACAGAAGCAAAGCTCGGTTGATGATGTTTCGGCCATTCAACGTCGCGGGTGGTTATTTCATATGCTAGCAACGACGGTATGTGTTGTGATGATCCTATAATTGTTTTGCACTTCTTTCCATTTCTCATCATTTGGCCCCCATTCTTGTTTGATTTTTCTCTGTAGAGAATTGACTCCAGCAGTGGAGCCGAACTGGCCGGATTGGACTTATACTTTGTAAATGGCGACGGTGAAACATTCAAAACGACCGTCTTACATCGACCCTACTTCTATGTCTTGACTGGCCACGAAGATGAACATTTGGGACAACTTTTGTTAAGGAAGTTTGCCGGATTGCTGTCGCATGTGGAGCATGTCCCTATGGTGGACTTAGACAAACCCAACCATCTTTCTCCCAACCACACACATCGAATGGTGTGGAAACTTCTGTTCGATAATGTCTCTCAGCTCATGGATGTACGAGGGCAACTCTTTGAGATCATCAAGTCCAACAGCAAACGCGGTTCCCACATTGACGGGGCAGGAATCAATCAAAACATCATGGACATTGAGGCTATACTAGCTGAGCAGGACAGTGGCAGTGATTTGGTGACTGACAGCAGCAACCGCACCGCGGCCAATTCTTGGAACAACATTCACGAATTGCGAGAATATGATGTCCCGTATGTGGCAAGAGTTTGTATGGATCTGGACATACGAGCCGGATCGTGGTACACTGTCACATTGGTGCATGTCGACGATGGCAGTCCACCCCATCCAGTGCTTTCGGATCCAGATATCGAAACCAAGGCCAATCCCCGCGTTCTTGCCTTTGATATTGAATGCAGCAAGGCACCCCTCAAGTTTCCCAATGCGGACATAGATGAAATTTACATGATTTCCTATATGTGCTCTGATGGCAAGGGGACGCCACAGGGTTTTCTCATTTGCTCTCGATCCATCGTCTCCCAAGATGTTTCTGACTTTGAGTACACTCCTAAACCAAGCTACCCTGGACCGTTTCACATATTCAATGAAGCGGACGAGGAAGCTACCATCCGTCGATTTGTCACAGAATTCCAAAAGTACTGCCCCCAGATTGTTGTCACGTACAACGGAGATTCTTTCGATTGGCCATTTCTATTGGCAAGATCTCAGCATCACGGCATTGACCTGTGGACAGAAATCGGTATAAGCGCCATGGATGGAGGGGCAGATCAAGGTGAAATTCGTGGTCGATGCTGTGTTCACATGGATGCGTTCTGTTGGGTTCAACGTGATTCCTACCTGCCACAAGGAGCACAAGGCCTCAAGGCAGTGACGAAGTACAAGCTCGGTTACGACCCCGTAGAAGTGGATCCAGAAGATATGCTTCCCATGGCGCAAGAACGCCCCGTCCACATGGCAACATACTCCGTTTCTGATGCCGTGGCCACGTACTACTTGTATGAAAAATACGTTCACCTTTTCATTTTCAGTTTGTGCACTCTCATTCCTCTCGGACCTGAAGACGTGCTACGAAAAGGATCGGGTACCATGTGTGAGACATTGCTAATGGTACAAGCCAACCACCTGGACATTATTTGCCCCAACAAACAAATAGATCCTCTTGCCCAATTTCACAAGGGGCACCTTCTTGAGAGCGAGACCTACATCGGTGGGAAGGTGGAATGCCTAGAGACTGGTGTATATCGGAGCGATGTAGAGTATGAGTTTGATTTGAAGCCAAGCGCTTTTCAACAGTTGATTGACAATATTGATCGCGATCTGTGCTTTGCAATTGAAGTGGAAGCAGGCATGGAACGTTCTGACATCACTAACTACGAAGAGGTCCGTTCGAAAATAGTAGAAGAACTTGAGTTGTTGAGAGATCGTCCAAAAAGAGTCGAAAAACCGTACATCTATCACTTGGATGTTGGTGCGATGTATCCGAACATCATTTTGACCAATCGACTGCAGCCCAGTGCTATTGTGGATGATGCGACCTGCGCAGCCTGCGACTTTAATTCCGCAAAGAACGGATGCAAACGACGAATGGAATGGGTTTGGCGAGGTGATTATAGCCCCGCAGGAAAACTTGAATACGACCGAACTAAGGACCAGCTTTCTCGCGAAGTCATGAAGGATGGTCAGAATTTTAAAGACTTGCCCGAAAGCGAGCAAGAGAAAATGGTGGCCAGCAGATTGAAAGAGTATTCAAGAAACGCCTACCGTCGAATAAAAATCACAGAAGAGGTAACAAGAAAAGATATTGTTTGTATGAGAGAGAACGATTTCTACGTTGAAACTGTCAGGCGTTTCCGTGATCGTCGTTACGATTACAAGAAGATGACAAAGTCTTGGAAGAAAAAGATAGGAAGTGCCACTGATGCTGCGTCCAGGAAAGAGGCGGAGGACAAGGTTCTTGTCTACGACAGTTTGCAAGTGGCCCACAAATGCATTCTAAATTCTTTCTATGGATATGTCATGAGA